AAAATATCCAAATACAGCTGGTCCAAACAATATCATCAGAGCGAGCAGCAGCACATGTAATATTGTTGTAGCTGTTACAATATGATGCCATGATGTTCCAATGGAAAATTGGTTTGCGATGCCACAACAGAAAACACAAAGCACATGATACACGACAAAATCTCCAAGGATAAAGCATTCACACATGAATAATACTCAGCACTGGCTTTGCATGCGCTCTCTTTTCATTTCAGGTTTCTGACAGTGAAAATACTTTTAACAGTCCCAACAAACCAGTGAGTTTATATGTGTGCCTGAAACATTTTGCTTCTTAACATCAAAACTTTAAGTCATTTCCCAAATCCAGGAAACTTGCAGCACAAAAGACCTGTTGTATCTACGGAAGCAAATTGATGATGGAGAAAAATGCCAGTACCTCATAAGGAGGATTATATTTCAAACTGTAAAGATGAATAGTGTGAAGATGTACAAGCTCGACCTACATGTGCCTTCATAACCTGAATGTCTTCAGTATGGGCTAACCCCTTTCTTTTAAACAGACACAGGCTGTTTCATCACTACAAATAAGGGATGCACAATAATATCGGTTTGTCATCGCTATTGGCCAATATCAGCTTTAAAATGAACTATGAGAATCGGCCAACATGCTTTTGCTTATTTTGCACAATGAATACATATTACACACACTGAAAAGCATTCTATTTCATGTCTACCATCTGCTGGTGTGCTATTGGGATAAGAGTGTGCATGCATAATACGATTTTAATTCTACTACAGAAGAGACTTGATGATGACTAAACTTAGGTGTGGGGAAAAATGGAGTAGTAATGGAGCAGTCCATCGATCTGTCCAATGAAACTGATGCACACTGAGTCATGAAAAGTATAAGTAAGTAAGAAAAAGTAAAACGTAGTGCTTGAACCTACTAATAATTAAGGTTGAGAATCGAGATCCAGTTCAGTTGAGAACTGGTTCCAAATTGTCTGATCTATCAGAATCATATGCCTCTGAACTTATCAACTCCTTTTATCGATGCAGACATGCAGACATTTCTGATAATGTTAGAATGAAGAACTGGCTGACAAGCCTTACCCTGCAAAACAAGAACGGTAATGTTTCTTTTTTTCCCATGCCCATGTTCTACGTCACATGGAACATGAAGCAGTGAGGATGTTGACTTTTATACAAACATATAGCTTTAGCCTCAGTCTTTCAGTATGTGTGCAGCCAGCAAGTGCATATTGGTTCGTATTTGAACAAATGTCAGCCAGAGACAGAGCCTTTGACCATTTCTCACAGTTAACATTGAATATCTAGCTACAATTGTCATTTCAGATGGCAAAATGGAATCGTTGTTGGCTAACATAGAGAAGCCTAGTAAAACAGTATGGTAAATCTGCCACCATTATAATAAGCTGTATATGTGCAATTCTAGAATGGACAACTTGACAGGTGGTGTGAGAGCTGAGATGAAAGAATAAAGCAAGGCCTCAGAGGACTCTTTGTCACTGTATGTGTGTGTGTGTGTGTGTGTGTGTGTGTGTGTGTGTGTGGCTCCTGAACGGAAAGCGGTGGAAGTGTGTTCCATCTGTCCATGCAGCAGCTCAGCTATTACTGTTAAACATCTGGGTTCATACAACACTCTGTGAACTTCTGCTGGAGGTTACTCAGCAAAATGTATGCTGGGTCAATTTACACTTGCCTGAATCAAAGTTTAATTCACTGTCATCTGATGAAACTGTTTGTATTTTGATATTAAGGATCTATGCACGTACATCATACAGTATGGGGATCTTAAGTCATTTGGTAGCAAATCCAAGCTGCTGAAGTCTGACACTGAGAAGGAGGAGATCAAAGTTTTTTGGAAAGAAAGTCTTCCAGGGATTCAAAATGCCTAAAAAACAACTCGGGACATAACTGAAAAAGCAAAATGAAAGAAGTGATAAATCAGCCAGGCCAGCTTATGTTGCTGATAAGAAAGAGGACATTGAAATATGGAATTGAAATTTAGAAACAGAGCCACCATTAAATAGTTTGTCCACCCAAGAGCACTGACAAGTTGACTTTTACACTATAAAATGTCCAGCTTGGTATGTATCTTCGTGACATTTTAAAATTCTACATAAAGATATCTCATAAATTGCCTCCTTCCTGTTACATGCCTCCACAAACAAGTCAAGTTAAAGTTACACTTTACATCCATGTCTGTGAAAAAGTGGACACTTCACACACAACTTCAACCTGGCAGCAAGATCTATGCAATCAGCACAGTTTCAAGGTGGACTCCTAAGATAAGCGTCACCAATTCAGTATCTGACCAAATGTCTCCCCTTGTGTTCCTGAGTTATGACGTATAATGACCAGAAAAGTGTTTTTGAGGAACATTTTGATGTTATAGTGAAGCTGACCTTTGACCTACCTTTTGGATATAAAGTGTCAACACTTCACCATTTTATCCTATTAGACATTTGTGTGAAATGTTGTCATTATTAGCATATCAATTCTTAAGTCATGGCAATACATGTTTTGTGAGGTCACAGTGACCTTGACCTTTAACCCCCAAATTCTAATCTTGTTCTTGAGATATCCTGCACACTAGAATGGGAAAGGTGAACAGACGTACAGACAGGTAAATGGCGGTACAGATGCAATACATACGAATGGAAAGACGGACAACTCAAAAAAAAGTATGCCTCCGGCCCTAACTGAGGCATAACATTTTTATGTAAATGTTATGCAAAAACTTAATGGTTTATATATCATAATACGATTTTTTAAGTAGAAACAGACAACCACCGCGGTCACATAGACAACTGGATTGCTTTCTGTTTTTCTCCGAGCCTAGCAACTGCCACAGTTTCCAAAATTACTTAAGATGTACCACCTGCCATTTCCGCAACTGGGGATAGTAACTGCAAAAGAATAACACTGATACTGTTTGAAAACAGGGGATAGCTACCAAGAGCTATCACGTAAAAAAGAAAAGAGCTATCTTCTTCCTGTTTTGGTTGACACAATGGTTGACGCACTTCCTTTGTGCCATCGAACCTTAATTTCCCGGAAGATGGTACCTGGTGGCAGACAGAATTACACAGTGACAGCGAGGCTAATAGGCAACTAATTTAAACGCTAATAATGTCATTATTCTATAGTCATTACACTGTGCAACCAACATTTACTTCATAATGATAACTTAAAGCAAAAACATTGTATAATTCCACTTTAAGTTCCCAAATATTTATACTAGTTTCTGCCTTAAAAACACAGTATTGGTCAGGTTATAGTTGAAAGCTCAAAAAAGTATTGCTTTGGTACTGAAGATCAAGTAACTAGACGGCATTAGCCCAACAGCCTGAAACTGCAAACAATTTTAACCAAAAACTGAACAGAACAGAAATAAAGCCATATTTTTGGAAAGGAATACCCACTAATTAGAGCAGAGATCAACAGCAACATCTTGATATCCCATCACCTCAAGATCACACATGCACACAGAGTTTAATGAAGAGAAGATGTCTTAGCATATCACTGTGTGACACCCACACAGGAGCACACTTCACCAAAACCGTGATCTCACTGAGACAGCCTGCAGCAGGCTGCAGTCTCAAAATACTTCAGTGGGGTGAAAACACTGGCTGTGCATCATTCCTCTGACTGAATGTGAAGCTGCTGGATTTATTTTTATTAGTATACATTTCAAACATGACAAACATGAGGGTTGTGTTCATATGTTAGCAGCTCCAGTGCTGCTAATGCTTTCATGCTCTGTTTGGTGTCTAATTGATTTAAGAGATGCAGATGAGCCCATGGAAAGAGTTGTTGGATATGTTATTCAAATTGATTCATGTCAAAATGACTGAGCAGATCTATCACCCTACTGACAAACAGCAGCAAATGATAAAGTGATTTTTGGAAGCTCACAACTTTGCAGTGACAAGCCAGTATCACTAGCTACTCAGCCACCCTAAAAAACACAGACTAAGACTATTTTCACTAGACTACATCTATGAGTCACGCTGCTCAGTGACACAATGGGAGTAAAACGACACCCAAAAGACGCAGACACTATAATACAGGCCACTCACAGGGAATAAAAAGCTTGTGAGCTGATTTGGGCCAGCCAGTTATCAGATTTCCCTGTTTTGGTTGCTTTTGCTGTGGGTCAGTTCAGTTGGTCCAGAAAAAGGACAAACAAGACAAGTAAACATAAAATCATATGAACTGACAGGTACATAAGTCATTGGACAATTGTGGTGATGTCATCCTGCTTCACCAGCACTAAACAGACCCACCCTGATGACTGACAGCTAGTCATTAGCTGAGGCTATAATTGGACAGGTAGAAACAGGACAATTAAAGATGTGTCATGTACTGTGATACTGTTGGGGGAAAGTTACTGACTGTGTGACTGTGCTATGTTTCATTCATTTTACACACCTTTAATAGGTAACTGCTTAAGTGCAGAGAGCAGGACACATGCTCAACACGTCCTTCTCACTTTCTGATGTATCAGGGATAAATTTTGCACTAGCATGCTAACATACATGTGTGTTGCCATGGTTACTAAATGATCCTGTACATCAATTATACAGATCAGAAAATAACGTTGTTGACAGTTGTGTTGCTAAAAGCGCAAAAAACAAAAAAATTAACCAACAGCAAAATCTAGCCAGTAGTTTTTTAAGATACCTTGTCCACCAGCACCAAATTATAACTGAAACAATAGTCTAATAATCACTTTGTGAAATAACAGAATTTAAATTGCAATCCTTTTGATAACTGATTGATTTTTTGATTTTTTTTTTTTTTTTTTACCAAAAACACACAGCCACACAGCCATGCTAGCGTCTTAACAGCATGTCTAACAGTCTTTTGACTGTTGGTCAACCAACTTGATAGACCACCTAGCACTACCCCACTGGTAGGGAGACACAATCATAAACCAAAGTAGTACCAAAGTATCTACCCTCATCATCAGTCTAATTACCAGACTCACTCACCTTGGTGACAGCTACTTTTGCGCCCTTGTTGATGAGCTGGACCACATTGTCGGCTTGCCCCTTGTGAGAAGCTATAAGGAGGCGCTCGGAGAGTGCGAGGACCTCAGCCGCATCCTGCTGGCTCATGAAGCAGGGCAAGTGATGCTGCTGTCGAGGTCAGACACGGTGCTCCAGATGGTGAAGAAGACAGCTGTGGCGACAGTCTCCTGTGCTCTCTAACTCATGGTGAGCTCTGCTGTAGACAGGGGTGTCAAACAGGAGCTGCAGAGGCTGCCAGTGCTGCTGTTTCTTCTGTTGCTACAAACTCCACAAACTGTCAGGACCCCTCCCCTTCATCCTCTCCTCTCTGCTGGGAAGAGAACAGGAAACACATGGAGTGAAAACAAGCCAGCATGTGCTCCGCTCATAAGGCTGGCAAACAGGAAAACAGGGAGGAATGGGCAGAGTGGACCGACATCCCTACTGTCCAGGTTGTTAAACCAATGTACAGTCCTTGTGGGATCATGTGAGCTCTACAGAAATAATCCCCAATGAGAGCAAAAAAGAGGGGTCAAATTTGGTCAGAGACTGAGTGCATGCTGTACTTTGAACAAGCCCAAACACAATGAGACATTAAAAAATTGCAACACAGTCATAACCGCAAACAGCACAGACACACTTCTGTGGTTTAATGAGTTCCTCCGTGACACAGTTCTGTGGTTTTGGTCTAACCACAGGAAGCTAGGGTGACTAAAGGAAAAGGCCTGCCGTGCCTCAAGTGTCTCAACTGATTTCTCATCACTATTAAATACACTGACAGACAGTCATTGAGTTGTCATACACTGGAGTGCATTCCTGCTAAATTAGGTATTTTACAAGTTTCCAAAAGAGATCCTGTTATCTTCCAGTTTGCCTCAGTGTACTGTCAATGACTGCCAGCATTATGTGTAACCTTCAAAATATGGCCCTCAGCTGAAACCTGAGATGTGAAAATTTGTAAAAACATACTGGCTGCCAGAGAAAAAATCAATCAAACTTTTATCTTGATGATGCAGATTTAAGTTTCTGTGACACTTTCCTACCTCAGTTTCAATTATAATCCAAGCAACAAAACATTTAGAGAGCAAAGAGTCCAACAGTACATTAGTCTGAGTGTCCTTGAACAGCCACCTTCAGCCAACAAGTATCAACAATATTAATGAAATACTTCACCTGCAAAATGACAATTTGCATAACCATTACTGACCTCGAGTTACCTTGAATTCATAAAGGAAACTGTTTTTCTTGCATGCCTAGATAGTGAACGGAGAATCCAAAATAGATGAACGCTCTTCATGAACAACAAAATTACATCATCTGTTAACAAATTCTCACACAACTTCCCAGATACATGCAGTTTCGCTAAAACATATTAGTAGTCCACAAACAGTCTTGTGCAGTCTCAGTCTCAAGGGTGCGCTACTTGTAGATGGCGAATTAAATAGTTAGGTTTTAGCTAAAATGCCTGTGTCTAGGAAGAACTGAGCATGTTACTGGGTAAATGAGACTTTGATTATACAGTACGAGTTGTGTAAATTAAACAGATATAGTTCTGCTGTTGTTAAACGCAGTCCCCATTTACTTCAATTCATGAAGAATTTTTTTTTTTTTTTTGGATTCTCTGTTTTCACGCATGACTGACATGATGCAGCTGTACAGAGGAGGAGAAAATTCCACCCTAAGGCTCCAAGATAACATTATCTTCTCTCTTCTGCTTGGAAGTGGCGAATTAATAGCTCACAGACACTTAATATAACACAGTCTCTGGCCTATGTTTGATAACTAGCGTTGGTAAAAGATGTGTTGGCACAGTTCTGATCCACCATTAGCGACGTCACATTTTTTTCTACTATAATACATGAATGCCACTGAGCCCCATTTAAACTTTAAAACTTTATATGGAAAAAATAACACAAATCTTCCAATATCCGCAGTTAGTTTAAGGTTGTTTAGTTGTAACAGAGAGAGGCAAAAAGCATGTATGCAGCAAAGTTTTGGTGAGTTCACTGCAAATTTGTTATTGTGTGTGCCTGCTTAGCTCAGTTCACAGTTTAAGTTCACAAATTAAGAAATGACTGCAAGGGAAGGGAGTTGTGTTCCTAGAGTTTGTCCTCTAGACAATTAAGAATTCCATTGATCCATCCTAATTTCCAGTCCATCCCTGGAATGTAAACATAACTTTGTTTATTAAAAAAAACACATTGGAATTGCAAAAACAGCATTATTTAAGAGGCTTAACCTGCTCATTCCATGCATGCTGTCTCTCATTAAGTCTCAACATATTTATCTATAAAGACACCAACAGATGACATTTATAGGACACAGATGGAAAATTCTGTCAACTGTGGAGTATCATAAATACTTTCAGTCTGGCTCAGTGGGCTTCTTTCATGTCAAATTCTTTTACCGTCACTTATCAATCCAGTCATAAAATGAGCAGGTAATAATTGGAGTGAAAACAGATGCTCTAAGCGTGTCCTGACATGAAGACTCTGTGATTAAAGAGCCTCTATTACATGTTATTTATGCTGTCAGAACTCCTAATTATGTGGGCATACACTACAGGGTGTTGTCCTTTTATAAACTGTGTATTCTGCTCGAAAATTTGCTTTTATGATCCAAGAGGTGTTTATTGGCTGTAAAATTGGAACTGGGGCCAGCGTAATCCATGCTTACTGAGCTCCACACCAGAAACACACACTACAGCAGACTACAGCACACACACAGAAAGGGAAGAACTTTAAGTGTTGAGTTTGAGGTTAAGTTTTCCACACAGTCTTTTGTTCCTTTAAGTGCTAAATACACAAAAAACAACAAGCTCTATCCAACAGCAACACATCAAAGGTCCGTTGATAGACTTCAACAGGTTCCATCAAGTACTTCTAATTCTGTTGCTATACAGTACGAAGAAAATAAACTCCCTTGGACTTTTTCACATTTCATTTTGTAAACACACTGGATTTTTTTTAATTTTTTTAAGTGTGCAATTATTTACTTGGGATTTAATATTTTTATAGAATTTAGATTACTCTTGTCTTTCACATATTTCTAGACTCTTGCACATGGTTTTGCAGGGAGCAGCCTCGTGCTCTCTGTGTTGATTTGTTGTCTTAATGTGGTGGTTCTCTGAATGAAAGTAACAAGAGAATGCAGAGATGCACTATTTTCAGCTTTTCTGCCATGAGGCCTTTCATCCCAGCCACAGCAGGCTCCGTCTGTCTCCCACAGTAAGGCTTCAGCCAAGGTTCTCACAGTCTCGTGTTTATCCAATTGTTGCCCTCAATTAACTGGATTAATGTGTGTGTATGATGCCCGGGTCAGATTATTAAACAGATCCCTGCATGTGCCTCCGATCCCCTCTGTGAACCTCAGTGGGGCTGCATGACTGTCTCTACACCAGTGGTTCTCAAATTATTCTGGTGTCCCCCCCTTTTGGAAGCTGAAATAAATCACATCCCACCCCTACTGCATTTTTTTCAATCCTAACAATTCTGGAGAAACTGGTTACACACAGAGCTGAGTTAAAGTTAGGTTTAACTTTTTTTTTCAACTATGTAATATTATTTATTTAATATTTCAATTCATAAAACTGTCCTGCTAAAAAGAATTAGCCTACATTATTACTGTATCCCAAACCACAACCCTGCTCTTTCCCTCACCAAGTTGTTTTTGTGCCTTAACCTTACCAAACCTTAATCCTAACCTAAGCAATTACTTACAGATATCGCAATTGTGTTATGAGTCACAATTTTAGAGGAAATGGTCATTTTTACATTTCATATTCAATGAAAAAATATTAAAATGATGATGTTAGTTTTTCTAGGGTCTGCACCAAACAAGCAAGTTCCCTTACTTCTACAATAAGATTTTTAGGCCATTCATCTCTGTAGCACTACTAGGGCTGCACAATTAATCAAAATATTATCAAAACTGCAATATGGCCAAGTGCAATATCTAAATTGCACCCCCTGCAATTTGGATATTGTACTTATTGCGATTTTGATAATATTTTGATTAACTGTGCAGCTCTAATTGTCAATAGGGGTGTACCATATCATATCATTTACAATAATACTGGTATAATTTTTAATATGATATCAATATGAAAAATTCATATCATGATACTCTCAATTTTTCGAGGTGTTGACACATTGACATCATACTGTTACGCAAGGTAAAAACAAGTATAGCTGAAAGCAAAATTATTAATGACTACGCGCTCATTCCAAAAAGAGGAGCAGCTTCAGTAGTGTAAAATAAACTGTTTTATGAACAGCCCCAGACTTCTCCGACTCTTTTAGTGACCTACCGCTCAGAGGGAACTCATTCAGCAGCTCCTCTGGCAGCAGCACAGCGTCTCTCCCTCTCCTCTCTCTTACCATGCACACATGATGGTGACGTCAAGTGATTTTGTCATAAACCTTTGGTAATGTAAACCTACGTGACACTCACAGCTTGACAAAAACTACATTTATGTGAATGTGCGATAGTTATTGTAGCATAACAGGCTCTCTCAGGTTACAGCGTGATGACTAGAGGAGAAATGGCAGAGCATAAAGGTCCAGGTGGAAAAAAAAAATAACTTAGTCATTTAGGATTTTACTAAAAGAGAAGGAAATCACTTGTTGATTTATATATATAGATCCCAGAGCACATTTTTTGTATCTTGGAACTGTTTAAATGTGTATTTTGGTGATTTTACTTTGTCAAACTTTTGATATTGTATACAGAATCTGAATCTCACTCTGAGTTACTGTTGTTTACAAACTTAAGAAATGAGAGATCATTTTTGTTTAGTTTTTACTGAATATTTGAAGGCAAACTGTTAGGTTGAAATGTAAAACTGCATCACTTATTTTGCTGCAATTCTATGTTCTTAAATAAATGATATACATATACATATACAGTACAGGCCAAAAGTTTGGACACACCTTCTCATTCAATGCGTTTTCTTTATTTTCATGACTATTTACATTGTAGATTCTCACTGAAGGCATCAAAACTATGAATGAACACATGTGGAGTTATGTACTTAACAAAAAAAGGTGAAATAACTGAAAACATGTTTTATATTCTAGTTTCTTCAAAATAGCCACCCTTTGCTCTGATTACTGCTTTGCACACTCTTGGCATTCTCTCCATGAGCTTCAAGAGGTA